AAGTAGGTGGTTCGCACGTTACCTCATGCCACCATGCTGGTCGAAGTAAACAATGGATATCTCATTAGCTCCTTTTGTTCGTCTACCAGCATTTAAATTTGACCCGCACACGTCAACGGGGAGTGACAAATGAGCCTAGGTCTTCCCAGGGAAGACTTCCTTAGATAGCGCGCCTTCGTGTTTAAATTTGTCCAGTTGAAAATTAAACTGCTACATGATAAGCGTTTGTCTGAAAACGACTAATTTAAGGCAGAAGGGATTTTCCGTATAACCCTGCGTACTGCTCTAAATTAAAGGTGTAGTCTACAAGATCAATCTCCTGTTTTCTTTAGATAAGAACTGTGTGCAAAATGAGGTCTAGGGCTGAACGAAAATCTTGCTAATAGACCCCTTTAGCTTGCATGTTTTGTTTACCCATTTCAGTCATGCGATAATACTCGAGAGAACTGTTTCTTTTCAAATTTCCTCTTATTCACGTACCTAAGCATAAGATAATAGGAATTCCCTTGAGTCCTGGGGAAAACAAAACATACAAGTGAAAGAGGTTTGTCTGGATTCCTTTGCAAAATTTAATTGAAAATTTTCAAGTGATCCAAGAAAGCCAACACGAAACATGGCCCAATATGTTTTGTCTATTTGAAATCAAAAAAGGCCGAAAAAAATTCCCTGCCTCGAAGGAAGTAGTCACGTGTAGACATAATAAGACTATTTTGACAAAAAAATCGAACGCTGAAGCTTACCTAAAGTAGTAGCTTTCGTCTCCACTCTATCCAGTTTTGTGGATAAGTTGGGCAATTAGCCATTCTAAAAGAAACAAAGACAGTGATTAAATTTCCCCTTGTTCAAGTTGCTTCGACAGCTATATTAATGAATTCAATTGGTTCGTTAACACTGCAGCGAAAAACCCTCAACACTAGAACAGCTCTGGCGTTCTCTCCTTCAGAACCACTTCAAGTATCTTTAACCTCTATTCAATAACAAGTTCCCTCCCCATAATTTATTTTGGAAGTTTTCTTTCGGTTTGCCTGGTTAACAACTAGAGATGAACTTTGGACAGATTTCTGAAACCCATCGATTCTAAAACAAAGCCGTTATCCCAAACTGCAATCCATTGTTGCAGAATACCCGGCTACCTCATTTACCTGTGTCGGGAGGCTTTGAAGAACGAAGCATAACACAGTAGAGGCTATTCTTATTCAATGACATGTAAATGAGTGGCTGGGTATTCTGCAATCTAGCCTTGAGAATTACTTCAAACACTTCATTCATTAATAAAGAATTCTCTTGATCCCATTCAGTACGTCAACTTACAACTTACAAATCTTGTGCTGTGCTTTGCTCAACAATTCCTCCAACACGAGTACTTCTTCCATGACTCTGGTCAAGTTTGGACGCTACTTTTGGTTCGTTACAAGTTTTGTAGCTCGTTTGTTCTTGCCTTCTTGGGATGTGAATACGTTCAAACCACGAGGAAGCGGAAAATGTAAATAAGTAAAGTCTCGCACGTGCAAATGTAACCTCGCCCTGGGAACGAGACTGATGCGAAAAAAATTACATAGCGAAGTTTCTGCCTCGATACTGGAATTTTATTAGTAACGTTGACACAGTTTGAGAAGGGCCTGATTTTAATGCAATTTTTCGACTGACTGAAAATGACTTTTGGCGGATACCAATCAGAAACGAGCCAAAAAACTTGTAACGAACCGAGAGTAGCGTCCAAAATTGACCCGGAGGCATGAAGAACTGCTCGTGTTGGGGGACAAGCACAGCACAAAGAGGGGAGGAAAGAAATTTTTTTTTTTGGCAAAAAGTAGGGGAACGTATGAGGGATCACGAAAACATCGAGGAATCTAGAAGATTTATTTTTCGTCCTGCGTCGTGGCGCTCAGATTGTCAAACGCGGGTAGTTATCTCCGCTCGAATTTTGATGAAAAAACAAGATCTATATTACGACTAACTGTTACAAGAGTTTAATTCACTGAGCATTTGGCCATGTTTGTTTGATCAAAGCTCATCTCAAACCCAGATCTCACTCGGTCCACAACCTTTCTCATGACCGCTGTAGACTTGGGTAAAAGATTATTTCAATAAAAACCATCGGACAAAAAAAGCAATATACAAAATTTATTTCCGTTCAATGAAAATTTGACACTTAAGGAAAAACTGTGAGAAAATAGTCATATTCTTGATTTATTTAATTTTATAACCTCCATTACCATCATTAATATGATAAAAAGATAGTTCTTTTTCAAACTTTTCTCCATTCCTTACTTTCACTATCCACAGCCCTCTCTCTTCTTTATACAAACCGAAAGCCTGGGTCCAAACGCTGACGTTTGGTGCAGTCAACCACGTAACACGCGCATTTGTTGAAGTCTTTCACCCTTAAATTCTCAAGCCTAATATCACTTAGCGGCTACTACGACTATGAGAGAAAATCATCTTATTCTATGGAACATCGACAAAGCAGCTTCTCTTCAGTCATTTTAAAAGTTTTAGGGGCGAAAACTTTAAGGTAACAGTGACACCATTAACGAAGTAACTTGATGGGTAAAAGAAACCAGTCGTTTACTGTCCTAGCAAAATTCAGTGTTTCGTAGTAAGACTTGAAAGGATTGTTCACAAGTATCCATTCACGTTTGTAAACGAACAAAAAGTTTTCACTCCAAAACTTCCAGAAGACAAACTTAATTCCAATCGCTATTATTAAACACAAATCAGAGTTGAATTAGTGACATTAAGGGGCATGGAAACCGAAGGAGAAGCGTAAGTTTAACTGGCGCTGGACTTTTCATATGAAGACTACATGTTTATAAAATCTTTATTTATATTAGTAACTACTTGGTTAAATTAAACAGCTATTCTGAGCCCGCTGCTCCAGTCAGCAGTGTCATTCATGTCGGGATAGAGCACAACGCCGTCGGAATTCCTGACCTCGTTCATGGATCCACTTGTTTGCCACTGAAACGTGAAGATACCAACAGTTGTTTCTTGGGGAGACTAAATTTTTGGTAAATAACTTACATCAAATCGTGTCAAATCATAATCCAAGGTTTTCTTTTTCGTGTAAGAAATCGAGTAACTGATAGGAGTTGCAATGTTTGGTGTGCAACGGAACTCAAAACCAAACACATACGACACCAAAGCTCATCTTTCAAACCGGCAGTCTAAATCCCACAGGCATCAACGAACGCTTTTCATTCCACTAATTTATTCGTGTTTTTCTCGTTGCCATGTTCCCACCAATAACGTAGCTCCGTTTTCTGCCTTTAAAAGCACACAACCCACAGTTCCTCTATTCGCTCCGACGAAGGGCTAACGCTTGAAACGTCAGCTTTTACAATCGTAACGGTGGCCATTTTACCATTTCAACTTTGTTGATATATTCAAATTATTTCGTTACCCCCGCGACGCTGCCCTAAACAGTTTCTTTATAAACTATCAGCCTTTATTAATTTTTCAAGAGTTCGTATTGGTTGCTTGTCATATTTACCTTCACTGTGATTGGCTGTTGCATTTAAAATGACTTTGGCGTTACGAAACATAATCATAATTGTATTGCATACTGCATCTTTGTTACAATTTTGCCTCAATATTGCCTCAATATTGCCTTACCCCATTTACTGCCCACCAATACTGGACATCCAGCATGTCTCGTGCTATCATCTCCGTCCCCGCTGCGCTTCAAGTTCCACCAGAAAGCAGCGTCTCCCTGTTGGTAAAATTCAGAAGAAAAACATTCAAGGCTAGGCCAGAAACTTAAACAAAGATTTTAATAAATCTACAAAAACCTTTTCAAAAAATCTGACAAAAACGTTAAGGTAGGCAAAGGAGGCTACCTAAGCTGGGTCCGCATCGAGTGCGGGACCAACAGAAATACTACAAAGTCACTGGATGTTATGAAAACCAAAATGGGCCCCCCTTCCTTTCTCCTTAAGTAGTGGCGGAGGAAGGGAATGCATGAATTTAAATCTAGCTTGCAAACGTGTCCGTCGTAAATATAAAAATAAAAAGAAAACTCGCGCACACAACAACTTCAAACAACAACTCTACTTATGTTTCGAAACAGTTCAAACTACCGAAATTGCCCTTACCTGGCTGGGAAATAGAGTTGTGCCAACTTGTGTAAACACCGTGCCGCCACCAGCTTCGACATTACTCATCTGAAAATAACACAAATAACAAATGTAAACTAAAGCACAACGAAGTGTGTCTGGCGATGAACGATAGAGTAATTTTGAATTGCTGAAGAACTGCAAATACCAGTGTCAAAGCTATCCGAGATTGCATTGGCTTTGTTTATACCTCGCTCCGTGATTGGTCCAGAAAACTTGTACCACTCTCTCAACCAATCAGGTGCAAAACTAAAACCAATCACGACTCGGTCGCCCGCGATTTTCCGCGCTTTATGCGTTTGGTTGGTTTTTACTTTGAGTTCTCATTGGCTCTTAATGGTATTTCCCTTCATTCTGATCGCCTGCTTTGGTTTTGGTTTTACGACACTCAATCGAAAAACGCTCTGAAAGGACTGGTGACTTACGTAAGCCAAGAAGGTAGCGATTCTGTTTCCTGTGCCTAGCGATGTAAACTTGTCTTCATTTTTCTGTAAAACAATAAACAGTGGAATGATGCATCAGTAAATGAGTAAAAGGATATCCAGTCAGTTGGTCAGTCAGTTCTTCTGTCAGTCTGTCAAACACTTTCAAAACGCTGACTCAGTCAGTCATTCGATCCGTCCATCCTTCCGTCTGCGAGTCCACCCCTACATTTGTCATTAAAGTGTCAAAGAAAACGGTATCAGAGCAAGTGCCTACCCACCCCTCCCCTAAACCTACATTAACCCTCACCTGTTATCAGTTGACTGTTGTTGGGTCAGGAGAGGGGTGGGTGCGCAGTTACATATATACAGACATTGATCTAAGAACACTCACCCGTGCAAAATCGTAGTGCGGTTCATAATGACCAGCAATGCCATAGTTTACAATCTGCAAGAATAACATTCATATATCAGATAAGAAAGAATGGCTCCCTAAAATCAAACTAGATATAGAAGTTATTTTTCCCAATGATAACTGTATGCTTGATCTAAAAAATACTTTAATGGGAGCATTTCACTCCTAACAATTGTTGCTGATTTCTGTTTTACGTATGAGGTTGCACATACCTGCAGTTCTTCAGCAGTGTCCATAGTTAAGCCTGTTACATCTTCAATGCGTAGACTCACGCGTCTAATAAGTTCGTGGTCTGTGTCTTTCAACCACCCACTAACCAAATGCAAACAAGTTAAAAATCATAAACAAAGTAAAACACAGTGATCAAGGAAACAAACCAACGGAAAAACAAGAAAAGAGATCCAAATTCAAGTAACGAAACAAGTTTCCACAAGTTTTCAAAGTTTTAATTTTTGATAAAATCTATAGCTTTTATCCCCCTTTTGAACAGATAACGTTGAAAAGGATCTGGAACGGCCTTGAAACTGCAGTACTGCCAATGAAATGTCACTCAAATGATAGCAGTTTTTTTTTTAACTAAAAAGCTTCCTCTTTACAAGGAAGCAGGCAAGTTAAAAGAAAAATTTCAATATTTGATTAATATTATTTCAGGTCTAAGTTAGAATAATCAGCTAAAGCCATAGCGAAGTATATTCAGCTTATTTAGTGTGGATTTAACTGTATTTCTTTAGAGTCAAGCTTTACACTTTGCTAAGAGAAAAGTTTGCAGGTTAGAGGTTAGGAACTTAATATATCGATAAGGAAAATTTTGATAGTAATTCAAGGAGACCGGTCGATTATGTAGCTCACTCGAGGGAGATAGCTGTCGCCTATTCTCTAGGTAACAAGAATTAGTGAGCATTACAGTCTGATAGGGAGATTATTGTTCAGAGTAAATGAGTCCGCCAAGTAAAGAAAAAAAAATTAGTGTCAGTAACGATTTAGTAAGCTATGAAGTTGGACACCTTCATAAATCTTGACGGTTAAATAAATTATTAAGTACGAACTGCCTGTACCATTCTATCAAATCTTGCGCATTTTTAAATTTTTTAGTGAAAATTTCAAAAACTAGATTTATGAAAATATTCGCTGCCTGAAGAGCAACATGCAGTCGAACCTGTATTAAGCGATCAATACAGGTTGACAGTTTAATACTGGGTCCACAGAATAGGCGTACTGTAAAAAACGATAAAAACCCCCGAGCCATTTCATGCCATAATTAACCACTAGATATACAACAAGAGATTCTTAACAAACACTCGCTCAAAAATACTGGTAACATTGACTTTGAGAGATTAAAACCGAATAAATTTTTACTTGAAAGATTATTCTTAGTTTATTGGAGTAGCTCTGCCCTGAGTGCTTGTTCAATACAGGAGGAAGACAATACAAACAGATCGTTGGCACTCAGTAGAGGGCGACCTCGACCGTTGAGTAGAGGTGAAAATTACAGTACTTGACGGGAAAAAAACGAGGCTTTGAAAAGCGACTGCTCGATACAAGTTGACTGCTTAATGCGGTGCCGCTGAATAAAGTTCGACTGTACATAGGAACGTGTTCTAAAGCTGTCCCCAAAGAGTAGCAATAACCAACCTTTTGCTTATGCGGTAGGACGCATGTTCAAGGTTTCCCGTGACTGGATGTTGAATTGTTGCACGGCGAAGCTGTTTGGAAACGTTTATACATAAAACAAGTTAGTTAGGTAAATGTAGAGAGATTTCCAAATGAGAATCAACAGTAACGACCAGCTGGTCAAGTTTCCCCTAATATATTTTGTAATTGGATAAGAATTTCCGCGCCAAGCAGAGAATCGGCCCAATATGTTTCCCGCGTTCAGCGCTCATTACACTTAATCCCGCATTTGACGCTGGATATGTRTTTCCCGCGCCTTGCGATGATTGCAAATTTTCCCGCGCTTGACGCTGGTTATGTGTTTCCCGCGCCTTGCGATGATTGCAAATTTTCCCGCGCTTGACGCTGGTTATGTGTTTCCCGCGCCTTGCGATGATTGCAAATTTTCCCGCGCTTGACGCGGGTCACACGTTTTCCCGCGCTTGGCGATGACTGTATGTTCACCGCAGCTCTAAATGGTTCTTCATGTTTTCCTGCTAAACATTGGTTACTTACGCTTAGCGCATTATGTAAATTTTCTCTCCCTCCTTTCTTTCCCTCCTAATTGGTTCATTTCGTTATGTTGATCACTGGCCTTTGTAATTTTGCTTGTTTTGCAACAGCACAGTTGCCCTTACAATTCAAAACGTTCTTCCGAGTTCACCAAAGAACCTAACGGTTTATAACTAATTGCAAAGAGATTCGTGAAAAAACATTACCGCTATTTGATGCACAGGCTGTGGTCATCTTTTGGTATGAGTCGATAAGTTACCATAGTAACAGGATAACCTGTCACTCTGTGTTGGGTTTTGAAGGTTTTGCCCTATCGGCGTTGTCTCCCGCACCCCCACAACCACCACCTTTCCGAGTTCCCCCCTTACCTCAATTACTAGAAGAGATCGAGAGCCACCTTAAATTTACAGAGTAGCTACTGAGCAGAACATAACAACAAAACACCTTCAAAATAAAAAAACTGCTCCTGTTGTACTATATTGAACAAGTTTTTCTCGCTATGATTTTACAAGCACCGTGCTTCTGAAATAATTTTGTCGTGAGAACGCTTTGTTAGATCATTGAGCATAGCCATGTAAAAGATGGAAACGAACACGTCTACTTATAGTTCGTAGTCGTGTAGTATTTTAGTGCTGTCAGTCTATACTTTCAATCAATTACCCGTCGACGATGGAAAAATAATGAGATAGCTCATACATGCTAATGAGACAGACGCGTGCATGCTTATGTGCGTATCTGCGCAACTTAAATGCGTACAGGAATATTTTTATACGCCCATACGCCTTTACTTGTACGCGTATAATGGGCTTTCTTTGGTTAACGTATTTCTCAGCGGTATTGAAGGTCTATGGGTCGAGAGTAATGAAAAAATGAATAACTGCCTATGAAGTCATGAGCACGAAATTTAAACACAGTGAGCATCTGCTGTAACTACAGCTGCACATAGCTTAATAACCCATTTGCGAATTACCCTTGGCCTCATTTTCAAAACGAGTCCTCGTGCTCAACCATTCTTGTGAAAATGAGTTTAATTTGCATGTGAATGGAAACTTATTATCATATGAAAGGATTAGCACGAGGACTCGTTTTGAAAATGAGGCCAAGGGTAATTCGCAAATGGGCTATTTAACTCATTACGACCGCCTTCTTTAAAAGTACATTTTTCTAGTCCAACATTTTGTTCCAATGAACATGACTAAAAAGAGGTATTTGACATCTAAAAAGTCAGTTAAATCCACACTGTACTTGCAGCTGTTACCACAAGAGAAAATTTCTTTCGACATCCACGTCGAGGCTAAGGTGTCTTACTATGTGGCTAACTTAAGTTTGGGATCAGTATCTGAGCAACTGAGCACCCCCTCCTCCCCTAACCAAACAATAATCCTAACTTGTAAACAGTGACTGTTGCTACGTTATGGGAGGGGGGGGTAGGTGCACAGTTGTTCAGAAACTGATATTGATCCAAACTTTAACACGCTGTCCACAAACCTCTTACTAACTCGATACTCAGTTGTCTCTAAGGTTCCATCATCGAGAGTTACCGTTGCACGTTCAAGCTACACAATTTGGACAAAATGCAAGAAGTTGTGGTTGCATTATTTACGTCAGTTTATACTGAAAAGAAAGCTATCAATCTTGGAAAAAAGAAGAGTCTGTAACAGACCACTGATTAAAAAGCAACAATTTTTATAAGACCACAGTATGGGTGGATACCGGTTAGGCATTTTTATTTTAACCAATCACCTAGTTTTCAGTATGCTCTAAAATATCTTGCTCATTCTGTCACGTTTAATCTAAGAAACATATGAAGGAAAGATTCTCAACAATTTAAGCTGGTATGCATGGAAGCACAAAGTAAGATATTTCAAGTAAAAGAACTGGTATCCACACACAGATAAAGACGACATGCTCAATTACTCTCCTTTGTATGACCAAATGATGGAATCTTCAACATAAGATTTCAGGGTGCTAAAGTCTGGAATGATATAAGTGAAGACATAAAGCTTCTTCCTCTGAAAAGTTTTAAGAAAAACCTTAAGCTAATTCTTCTTGATAAATATAAATAATTTTTCTGGCCTTCCCATTGTTTTTTACACTGATATTCCTTGCTTCCTTGACCTTGTTTTGTATGATGAATGAGTGTGTGTGTGTGTGTGTGTGTGTGTGTGTGTGTGTCTGTGTTGTGTGTGTTATATCTAACCCAAATAATTGCATTACATAAATCACCTAAGTATAGCTGCCCTTTTTTCTAACCCCTATGGTTATTTGGGGCAGCTCGTACTCCTTTATATTCTTGTCAATTCATCATTATTTTTATCAGTATTTTTTATGTTGGGTACAAACATAGTTAGTAGTGTTGTTGTTGTTGGCCACACACTTGAACTCTTACATCTTAACATCAGTATGTATATTCTCCCTACAATTCTCTACATATTCATTTTTCTTGAGGTGCTGATAAGGAGAATCTTTTTAACAATCAAGAACTCCTCTAGTTGGAGATCATTGCCTTATTTTATTCTTGTGACTCTAATGTGTCATTCAGGGGTGATATTGTATTAGATGAAAGTCTCTCTAAGGGGTCAGAAATTAACAGTTAGAAACTTCTTTAGCATACATGTACTTGTGCTAAAAATTAAACTAACTGCTCCAAAGTTCAAAATATACACACTGGAGTCAGTTTCATCTTAAACTGCTCTTTAAACAATATCACATCAAAGGAAAGATTCTTATGATCTGAGTATACTGCCATTCAGTTTTTCCCAGATTCACAGTTAAAGCATTCCTTTTAAAATCAGCTACATCTGCCTAACTTGTTGCTGGAGATTTCATAAAATGAACCATTTGACTGACATTTAAATGACAGTTCTACAGTTTCAAAGGATGGCCATCATGCTCAATGCCACACCCAATACAATCTACGTTATCTTTTATTGATAAAATCATGACAAAACCATGAGCAAGTATTAGTGGAAAACTCTGATTGACTTCTCAACTGACTCCATCAAAAGTTCAATATGTGATGCTGTTGATCAGATGATGTCAGTTACAGTCATTACATTTTTGTTTTAAAACTTGTGGAAAAACAATTTAAATTGAGTGTGAGATGCTCACATATTTAGTTTAATTGGTGTAAAAAGTTGTTCTTGAGTACTAAACAACAGCATGAATTACCTTTTGCTCACTCTATATTTAGCATGTTCGAGCAGACCAGTTTTTGGGCTTCTAACAGTGGCACGACGAAGCTGATCAAATGAAATTCAATAACACAATAATTCATGTTGTAATAACCCAATATCGTGTGATTGTCTGAGAAAATAGTCATGAAAGAACTCTATTGTCTACAACAGTATCTGATGTTTTTGTTAAAACCTTAGCATATATCATCAGAGTCAAGGTTACATCTATGAAGAAATGTTGGTCTATCAAATGTTAGTAAGAGTAATTTTCAATTGAGCATCAATAGAAATCCTGACTTCACCCATGTTTTCGTGCAATTTAGATAGTCTGAATATTTTCAGTTTGAGTTTGATTGGCTCTTAAAGGTATTTTCCTTTCTTCTGATTGGCTGTTGTCACATGGCAATCACTCAGAAAGTACTTTATTTTCTTTTTTGTGAAAGCTAATTGGTCAGTTTTGCTGTACTTCCTAATTAAGTAGCAGCCTTTGCTTTGCAAACTTAGTAAAGAAGGACAGACTCCCCTAAACAGATGTCAACAACAAGTGGAATTATAGTAAGTTAGTAGTAATAAGACTGCTGTGGTAGCTATTATCAGCCATATCCTGTACTAGATCACAATGTGTCTGGTAAAGGTAACATTTTAACTCTATTTCATATGGGAGTAAGTTTCTAAAGAGATTTTGGTGCTGCATCAGTGGAAGTAACAAGATAATTTTGGTTTTATAAAGATAAATTGGCCAGTACCATAAAGAGTTTAAAAGCTGAGTTTTCAAGCATTAGCCCTATGTCAAAGCTAATGGTCTAGGGTGAAGCCTGTTCGAAATGTCAGCTTTGAAATTCTTTAGGGTGGCCAGTTTACATAATCAACTCAGTTGATAAAACACAAATGACTCTATTTTATATGATATGCATATTTTTACTTGTTGAAGCGGTGTGTGAAAAATTGATCCTCACAAGAAAACTGTCTAAAAAAAGTCTGCAGAAAGTCAAGCCCTGTGTTTTAGGCAAAAGCTTGGAAAAAGACAAGTTAATTCTTTCCAACAAATCCTTTTTCTGGAGGAGCATTGAGGTCACCTAAGAGCCTGGTGTATAAGAAACTACTATTCTCATTTTAACTGAGGGTAGAAGTGGGTTGAAGTATCTTGGGAATGGCCTTTGATGAAGCTAATTGCCCTTTGGATATAAAGCAAGGTTGTTCTTAACCCAGCTGACACTAAAGTGGCCACAGATGAAAAATTGTACCTTCTAGAACTAATAACAGTGTGATTTTTTGGGCTGATTTTTTGGTCATAAAAGGTCGACTTATACACAAGTAAATATGGTACATCTGTAATTTAGGCAGCAACAAGCTTTAGGAAACAACAAATATGACTTCTTTTTTACCATTAAGATTGAGTGTCTGGCAAATTAAATTTTCCAAACGAGAGTTTTAATTGATATCACAAAGTGTAATTTGGTCATTTAAAATGTGCCTTAAATGGACTTCTAGGTAAAAAAAATTGGGTTTCACAAGGTAAGCCAATAAAAGTCCCATTTTCCCACATTTTCTTGAAAATATTCTTTTATCTCCTTTACTCAAAAACAACTCTAAATTTTTCTTGACAACAGTGAACTATATGTAGATCAGGATACTGCCCTGGGATGCTGTACCATCCTAAAAAAAATAGATTTCTTTATAATAAAAGAACTGTACAGTTGCAAAAAACATTGGTACATTACCCTTGGCGAGGCCAGCTCCTTTATCTTGTTCATCTCTGTCTCTGTAAGGACTTGGCGCATTATTATAATCTCAGGCTTTAAGAACACTCTCTCAAACTTTGCCGGCCTGATTTTTAATCTTGGTGTACCACTATAGTACCAGCACAACATTTTACTTTGTTCCCAAGCAGTCTATGAAATAGAAAAGTTGAAAGTTAAACGAAACAGAATGAATTGTAGATAGATGGAATGTACTGCCTATGGACACTTGCTTTGAAACTAAAAAAAAAAAAACATTTAGGTTGAAAGCCAGAATTTTTTAGTGTTATAGTCTTACTTAATTACCTTTTTGGTGCTCTGTTTCTACATGGGGTCAAAACTCCTTTACAGATCTTCCATATGACCTCTTATTTTTATCACTAATTTTCTACTTTTATTTTTTTAACTTTTGCACAGTAGCCATTAAATCATAATAAATAAATGATAAATTAATTAGAAGTTGTAAGATGCTATCCATGAAAACGTGAGATGCTCTGGAGACAAACAGTTTGTGTACAATCCTGTAATACCAGTACTCCTTATCACTTAGTGTTAAGACATCACCAGAACAAAGTCCACAGCTTTTCCTTCCAATAAACTCACCAAATTTCTAACTTCTCCCCTGCAGAGTCTTTCATAGTTTTGGAAGGAGGATGTTCGGTGCCAGTTGTCCCGCTCACTCCTTGGTTTAACTTTAGTGTCAGTGATAATTCCAGTATCACCTCGGCGACCAGTCTGTTTGTATATCTTCACTTCTTCTTCAAAGTATGCTATATTCCCTTGTGCTCGTTCATGCAAGGGATCTAAAATAAGATAGAAATACATGCTAGAAAAATGATAAATGGAAATTCATTTTACTTTTCATCTTGTATGAATTGTTTCAAATAAATCATTTTCAAACAATTTAAACATAGGGGAGAATTGACTTAAAATTTCCCTTTGATCAAAGTATTGTCTTTAAATAGAACAACATCTTGAAAAGACATCGTGTGGTTTGCTACCATACATTCACTTCATAGAGATGAGAGTTAACCAAAATGAAACAAGGATGGTTAGGAATGGAGAGGAAAAACAGGAATTGAACATGACAGGATAGAAAAATTTTGGCTACTTTTTCAAGATACAGTATAGATATCGATCAAACTGAGGCTGAACCCCTTTGGTGTAGTCAGAATGTGGTTCAGTTACTCACCAAGCTCTACCATTTTCTTGGAGTACTCTAATGCCTTTCTCATGTTACCTCGCTGAAATGTGCCAAGAGAAAGAAAGCTGTCAGCAAATTGTGCCAAGCTTGCTGACATACAGAATAAATTACTTTATTGTGAGATTCATTAAAGCATTTACACTTTGAATAGATACCCACTGGTCCATTGTGTACTGACCAATCACAACTGTCACAGTGAAGTTCAGTAGATCAAAATTCCATAATAATTGGCTCTCATGTTTTGTTTTTGTTTTTGTTTATTTTTCCAACCTCTGGTTAGCTCGCGGAACCAAACAAGATGACTTAAATTAATTTCTGGCATTCATAGTTTTTTTAGCTCCACAGTAACTGCAGCTTTAAAATGAAACATCACTTTGCATCTGGAAAGATCTTGAGACATTCGGGTAGGGCATGTAGTGCCAGGTGTTGTGGTCTATCTTTGTGTAGTGTCTAATCTAGGGTGAATTGGGGAGGGAAGGTGAGATCAATACATGGACTTAAGTGGCTGCATAGTGCGCCTGATGAATTCTGACGTCCGATCTCAACTTAACTGATTGTAATGCGTGACTGATTATCTATATAGTAGTTTGCGCTATATAAATGTTAAATTGTTGTTGTTGTAAGCTGATGCTCACTTGAACACAGCAGACTTATCTGCTGTGTTCAAGTGAGCAAATTTATCCTGTTGTGTACCTTGTAATTAGAATACGCCAGGTGATCATAGATGTCAAAGGGATTGATGCCATCTGCATCATCCTGTTTTTGGAACTGTCTTAATGATTCCTCCATCCAGGAGTTTGTATAAAACATGTCGCCGTTCAAATAAGCATGTCGCCCAATATCCTAGGTCTCACTAACTGTCATTCTGGGGGATGGGACAGAGCCAGGCAGCTTTCCTTCAGTAAATGACGATGGTTGAAGTTGGTATGTGTCTTGAAGTCGTAGGAGGGCAGTAATTGCTCCTTCATAATCTTCTTTTGACGAAAGTGCTTCTTTATGCTTGGTTATAGCATCAATGACAGCTGCCAGACAAATAGGAGTGATAACATTTTAATTTCTCTAGGTAGTTTTAAAGTAATGCTATAGAGATTAGTGATCAGGGATTTTTCCCATCAAGTTTAACTTCCTAATTCTTTCACTCCCAAAATCTCATTGGTAATTCTCTGTACCATCTGCTATACAATTATTGTGATGTTACTTGAGAGGATTTGGAATTGGATCAACTAATAATTCTCTGATATGATGAATATATGAAGTTCATATATATTGAAATGCAGTTATAGATACGTATGATGCACGATCCTCGCAGTAGAGAGCGCTATGCAATAGCGGAAATCAGACCTGAAAAAAATCAGGCCTGTACGGGATTTGAACAACTGAGTGCTATTTTTGCTATTGCATAAATAGCGCTCTCTACTGCGAGGATCGTGCATCATACGTAATAATTCTCTGTTTGAAATTTGTTTTTATTCTCATCACTTGTCTGACTAACATTTAATTTTTCCAGATGGTGTGTACCATTAATTCAAACATTAAGGACAAGAAAATAAAAAAAAAAATTGCCAAATAAAAAAGTTGTTGACTGTTTAAAATGCTTATAGGCATTACTGTGGGATATAGCTGAAGCACCAAACCAAGGGACACCCTTAGAATCACATATGGGAGAACTGTTTGCCCTATGGTGAGCATATTTAAACTCAGCATTGAGTCATCCAAGGTTTTGGCCTTGGTTGGGTCATTGTGCTGAGTTCTAAGGCAGGAAACTTCTCCTGCCGTAACTATCTCCACTCAGGAGTACAGTGTATATAAATTATTGGTACAAACAAATTATGCAATTCTCCACTGGGTGTAATACTAAGGAGTGTAAATGGACCAGCTCCCATTCTAGGGGAGTGGCGATACTCTTAAGCATCTCATGTTGCAGAAACTCACTGAGACCAGTGCAATAAAAAGCATTTGCCACAAAATTGTAATGGCAGGTTTTCATTTCATGAACAGAAAAAAATTTAATGATCGTATACAAAATGTAGAAATAAAATCAGATCACAATACCAACTAGCTTTTGAATCATTAATTTCATTTGATTAGACCCTGCTTTATCAAAAGCCCAAAGACAATCTTCATTACTATTTATGCAAAATTGTGAATCAGGAAATTGATAATTTGCATATACAAAGAGCTTGGACTAAGAATATTTTCATGTTTTCATCACAAAGAGGTTTTGATCACTGTGTAAAGTTTTATGCTACGCCAAAAGAAATCAATGAATCTGATATCATACTTGATGAAAAATTAAACAAAGTTTCTTCAACAAGATTTTTATTATGAACTGTCCCAGTTTTACTCGAGATTAAATTCGGCGATAATTGGATTCATACATTATGTTTTAGTTACACCAACTTCATCGCGAATCAAATGAGAAAATCTCACAGCTGTATTTAAGATATACGATTCCGTCGATGGTTAGACAATAAACGAGAACAAATAATCTTAAACTGCTCTTTTTTAAATGTTGACTATTGGACATTTCATTCAAAACACGACTTACCCTCAGAATTATCAACTTGAATCAACCTCTCTGCTTCAGGCCATTCTTTATATAATCTCCTGATCTGAAGATATGAATTTACAGGATGTCCTAAATACTTAGGTACATCTTCTCCTACGAGCTTATGCGCGGAATCCACTCGGGCGAGAAACTTCTTCAATCTTGTTATCCTTTCTTGTTCTAAATTCACGTACTGCTCTAAAGAAAATCTCAACTCTCGTTCTCTGTATACCAACTGTTCTAGATCGATTAAGGCCGTGAAAAGCTCGCCCCGAGCTCTGCTCAAAATCATGATCGAGGTGAGTATCAACAACGAAAATCGAACGAACAAAAACGCAGCCATTTCTCAGACTTTGCCAGAGAGAAAGGATGGCAGCTACTCAACTGGCCCATGTGAGAATTGCTGGGATAGCGAAGCAACTCTTGTAATGAGAATTCAAATATACATCTCTCTGTCAAAACAAACAATCACCACTTTCATCGACAATAAATATTGCTGGACTTGAGTCAACCCATTGACTTGGAGTCAATATAATTTCAATTAGTCTGATTATAGGATATTGTGCTCGAAATGTTTCACTTTTTACCAAAAACTAACCTGAAGGTCTCATACTAAAGTTTTATTTTCTTCTTACCGGCGTGACCACGGAATGGCAAACCTGCCAAAATAACACAACGTTTCTTTCATTAGCAAACAATCAATTATTGATTTCGTCAATATCTCGGAGTCAGTTACAGCACCTGAGAAACCGCACGTTTCAGTCTCAAATAATTAAGTTGATACGTTCTATATCCATGAAAATAATACTCACGATTTTTTTTTAGGAGGGTTAAAAATGTTCGAAGGACTTGTAGAGTCAGCGAATCAGTTCGAATCGACGAATCTTTCAATTCGTAGGGTGGAGAGAGGGTGTTTATTTCAAAATAAAGGTTAAGTAGCTGATTTATTTTCTTTATTTGAAAAATCTATAATGCTCAGTCTTCAAAAAGGTTTTCCTCCCTAACTTCATCTTGATGTGCAAATATATTGAAAGGTCTGGGAATGACGCCTTTGGCCAATATGGAAATCATCCCAGCTGCAGAGAGTTTTTCTGTCTTTGCAAATCAAACAGTTTGACGGACGTGAACATACGAATGAAGAATGCTTTATATTTCATCTTAAATAAAAAAAAAAAAAAAGAAAAAAAAAAAAAAAAGAAAAACGCATTTGGCGACGCCATAGCTCTTTTCTAGTTTCCTTAGGATTCCCTCAGAACTCTCCACGCGTCCTGTGACAGCAAAAGTCTCAAACTGAAAAACACATCTGCCGGAGGTTTCACCTTAGATGGATAATGTCATTAGTTAAATAAATCGTCCCTGTAGTGTCTTTAAACAGCTGGATTTTCAGATGTCTCCCGCGAGAGTTTCCCAAAAACGTCAAAATCTTACTCGTCTCCAGATCCCTATCTCTCTCTCTCTCTCTCTATCTCTCTTTCTCTCCTTCCTGAAACAATTCGAAAACCGGTCTGACACCTGTTATGAATTTCACAGAGATTCTTTTCAGGAAACTACGTATACACGGCGGAAGAAACAGATAAAAATGACGAGAGATGCATTGAAATACTCATTCATTCCTTACTGTTACCAGAATAAAGCAAAATTATCGCTTGAATTTTTTTTTTTGGGGGGGGGAAGGGGGGCAGAAAAAAATTCTTGCTCTACGCGATCGTACACATCTGCTTCCAAGTGAGACACAGAAAGTTTCGCTCCATAAATAATTAATAATTTGAAAAATTCTCCTAGCGAAATTGGTGAGTGCAAATTCACAGGTCACATGTATTGGACTAACTGAAGATTTTGGTGACTCAGCGAGGAGAAAATGGGCACTCGACGCTGGTTCGTTATCCTTTTGCTATCGCTCTTTCACAGCTTATATCGTCGAAGATTCTTTGTCGAAGGAGATAGCTTCGCTTCTATAGCACAAATGGAACAAATCGTCAATTTGGAGATGACGTTGAGTGAAAGCCTGGAGAGATTTGTCGAGTTAGAGAAGAGTCGATTAGACAAAGTAAAACAATTTTCTACAAGCGTCAAGGAAGCGATGAATCAAGTGAAAATAGAAGGACCAAAATCTCTCGAGAATCCTGCCACATCTTATGCTGTAATCAAGAGATTTGCGAACGGATGGACAGAGCTTGGGAATTTTTTAGAGAAGGACTATTCCAATGGCAAGTGTACTGATTATGGCATGATAAAATCAAATTAATTCTCTGATGAGTGTCGACGGGAAAATATCGTTTGGGTTTGTTAGTTTGGGGTTAAATTTAGGTCTTCATAACCAAACGGGACTAAACATGAAATTTATAAAGGAATCGAAATTTCTCTTTTCTCTCCGCCGTCTCTATTTTAGCAGGAAGAGCTGCGGTCGTATTGTTTATACTAACAAACAATAAATACAAATCATGATACAAGCATGCGGCTGACAAATCAGAAAACTTCAATGATACAATTCAAGTATTCATAAAAATTATTCAAGATCATTTTAGGTGTTTTTTGTAAAAGACTTTTTGTTTCTTGGAAAGATCAAGATTTACCAGATCACATATCAGCATTTTATTATTACCTTTCTAGTTATTAAGCAATCAGATCGCTATTAGCTTTGAATATTTGTTGCTCGATGCTGATATCCTGCCGTTAAAATACGCTTTCGTAGATACAGTCGAACCTCCGCTAACGGCCACCTCTTCACAACGGCCACTTTTTTCGGGCCCGGTGAGCTGTCCATACATTCATTTAAACCTCTCCACAACGGCCACCTCTTCACAACGGCCTCTTTCTTCTGTCCTCAAGATGGCCGTTGTTCAGCTGAAGGTGGCCGAGAGGTTCAAGGTGGCCGAAAGGTTCAGCTAAAGTTTCAGTCAATGTAAAGCGAATCAAACGCGGAGATGAAATTAATGAACCAATGATAGTATAAAAGCGGCTGTTGGCGACGTTTAGTCAGCGTGCCCTGTGATTGGCTAAGAATTAAGACTCCCGCCACCATTTCGATAAGTAGTAACCTGTTTGAAGATCGATAGAATCCATGATGGCAACTTGCGATCCAAATAGTTAAGCTTTGACTTATCACTCCTATCGCACAGATTTACGAAATCTACTACAGTCAAATAAATGGCAGTTTCCAACCCACAATGAAGATCTGCTGGGGGCCATGGCGGCATTGTTTCGTCTCCAAGATACTTATAATATATCTGCAGTTGACATGGCTGATAATAACATAATAGGTGAGCGAAGAAGAAAACTTTCACGTGTCAGTATCTGACCAACAGCGAACCTTCCTCTTCCATCCCCTGACCCAACATTAACCTAAACTTGTTATCAGTTGACTACTGTTGTTGGGTTAGGGAAGGGAGGGGTAGGTAGGTTCGCTGTTGCTCAGGTATTGAAATTGAACCAATTTTTGTTTTGTTTTGTTTTGTTTTGTTTTTTCTACGAGAGACCACCTGACCTAATATTTTTAAAATGCTCTGACTCCTGTGAGCTCCAACTGATTTCATAGTTTTGTTTTCTTGGTAAGATACTAAACTCTCTCTCCACTAAGCCTGATCCTCCATGGGAGGGTTGAACTAAGATCTCATACGGGAGGGACAGCAATCCTCAAGTCGCCACATCATGCCGCAGCCTGATTCGGATAACCCCAGTTTAATTTTAAGGGGTTTTACTCCCTCTCCTCAGCATGACCCACTAATAAGTCTGTTACAATCAGGTTTGTTTTCATGTATCATCCTCAAGGTTGCGGAGCTGCTCCAAAGCTTTTAGCCGAAGACTGTTTCGATCTTGGAACTGTGGCATACCAAGCCGGTCGATACACACAGGCCAGAGAGTGGCTGAGTTTAGCAGAAACGTTCATACATAAAGGGAGACACGATGGTGCAGTGAATCGAACTGAAGTGGTAGAATACCTGGCCTGGATCGAATACGTTGTAAGATCATTCAACTCAATATTTCCTTGTAGGAGAGGATATATGTTAGAGAGTATACGCTACTTAAAATGGGGGGAAAGTCTGCCTTCCAGTCGGTTTACTCCTCAGCGATCTCAACTTGTGCGATGCCAGTTTATTTATGTATGCATGAGTCAATCAATCAACGTAATGTTTAAAAATCCCAACTGGCAGGAGGCAAACCAGTAGGCTGTATACAAAGCGCAGCTTGGGAGTTGAACTCAGGTCAACCACGAACGAGTCCATCGAGTAGCAGGGTGGAGGACTTGATCATGGGACCACCATTTATGAGCCCAGCGCCCTAATCACTCGGCCACACTGCTATGGGTTTTTTGCCTTGAGAGGCCCAAGAAGAATGCCTTTGCTTATCAGAATATTCGTTGTTTAAACATCTCTTCTAGGGGTACCAGCATATCATTGTGCAGTTGGGAATAGAAAAACGAGGAAAATGTATCGTCGTTTTGTACCAAAACCTCGTGTGTCCAGCCCTTGCCCAAGACCTTAGATTACACAGAAACTAAATTTATGTTTAATTTTTATTTTCTTCTAAAGAAAGGAAATCCCGAGCGCGCTCTCAATCTTACCTTGGAAATACTTCAATTAGGTAAGTTTGGGAAATTTCTTTTTCTTTTTAGTTTTCATTTTTTTAAAACTTTCATACATTTTCGCTTAGTTCCTCATAACAAGCAGGCGAAAGAGAATGTCATGCACTATAGGGAGATGGTGGAACAAGGAACACGTGATACACATGATCAAATAAAAGCAAAAGAGGAAGAAATCAATACGAACACGTTCAAAAGTGGGAAGTACGCGACTTTGTGCAGGGGCGATACAAGTCAGGTACCAGTCCTTTTTGGTTTATGTCTCAGATGTCACAACTTGACAGATTTTTTAGACACACTCTGAACCTATAATGTTTCTTTCTATTATGTCCATGCTTCTACGTCAGCATCCAGATTTCACCTGATGGTCATAATAGGCCAGCAATGATATTTTTTACCATGGTGTTCAAACGCAAAGTAGCTTTTCAAAAAACGATTCATTTCCGAGATGTTCAACACCCCTCCTTGAAAATGAGGTTCATTTTTAGAGAGCCTTATCAAATTTGGTCTTTAGGCTGTCTCCCCATTCACCTCCTCCCCTCGTTTAATTTGTTTCTCTCTTAACTTAGAGTACCCCTCAAGGAGATCTCAACTGTTGGTATCACGGACAGAAGAGTCCATTACTCTTACTCAGACCCATTAAAGTGGAAATGGTTTGGCGTAAGCCTGAGCTGTTAATCTTCAGAGATCTTTTAAGCACGAAAGAAGCTGAAAGAATCAAAGAGTTAGCTACACCTAAGGTCTGTCACCTAAGACTATTTCTATTGCTGGGTCATTATCTTTATACAAATAGGATAACCTTCAGCACGTACCATATTGAA